TCTCATCTTCACATCTTCTCTCCTTTCTCTCTCCCTTTCTCTCTCTCGCCTTCTTTATCTTTCTCTCTTTAGGCCGAGGGTGGTGCCGGCGGGGAGTCACGAAACGTGAACCCTTTCGCACGAAATGAGGGTCGATCGTCAAAAACTGAGGAAAAATTGCGATTTTACTTGTGCCGGAGCAACCCTTTCGCACGAAATGAGGGTCGATCGTCAAAAACTGAGGAAAAATTGCGATTTGACTTGTCCCGGAGCAACCCTTTCGCACGAAATGAGGGTCGATCGTCAAAAACTGAGGAAAAATTGCGACTTTACTTGTGCCGGAGCAACCCTTTCACACGAAATGAGGGTCGATCGTCAAAAACTGAGGAAAAATTGCGATTTGACTTGTGCTGGAGCAACCCTTTCGCACGAAATGAGGGTCGATCGCCAAAAACTGAAGAAAAATTGCGATTTTACTTGTCCCGGAACAACCTTTTCGCACGAAATGAGGGTCGATCGTCAAAAACTGAGGAAAAATTGCGATTTTACTTGTGCCGGAGCAACCCTTTCGCACGAAATGAGGGTCGATCGTCAAAAACTGAGGAAAAATTGCGATTTTACTTGTCCCGGAGCAACCCTTTCGCGCGAAATGAGGGTCGATCGTCAAAAACTGAGGAAAAATTGCGACTTTACTTGTGCCGGACGTGTCTGTGTGTAACAGCGGCTGTGTGTAAAAGCGTCTGGGTATAAGAGTCTCTGTGTGTAAAAGTGTTTGTGTGTAAAAGTGTTTGTGTGTAAAAGCTTCTGTGTGTAAAAGCTTCTGTGTGTAAAAGCGTCTGTGTGTAAAAGCGTCTGTGTGTAAAAGTGTCTGTGTAAAAGCGTCTGTGTGTAAAAGCTTCTGTGTGTAAAAGCTTTTGTGTCTGCAAGCGTCTGTGCGTAAAAGAGTCTGTGTGTGAAAGTGTCTGTCTGTAAAAGCTTCTGTGTGTGAAAGCTTTTGTGTGTAAAAGTGTTTGCGATGCAAACTATTGTCTTGCACTTCTGCTATTTTGTCTTAATATATAATTTCTAATATGGTGTCTCCATACTAACAAGAGAAGACCCTGCTCCTCTACGCTCTCGGGCCATCCGTCGTCTAGTTTTGTTGCAACTTGTTAACAAGGGATGTATCAGGTGATATCAGGTGTGGGGTCCGAACATTTTGAAGTATGTTTGCATGGAGTTTCTACGGAAGTGCGGTTGGTCGTACTCAGTCCCTTGATCGCTGGTACTAACGCTAGCGTTAAATCATATCAACTTATAAAAGTCGTATCGGGAGGCCGTGCGCCTGGAAAAAGTTCAAGTTTGGCATCACCACAACTTTTAGTAATTGAACAATTTCATTGTTTTGGGGCCGTGCGCCTGGAAAAAGTTCAATTTTTTTTTAAGGCGTTGATTTTTTAAAAATATATTTGATCATTCTTTCAAGGGGGCGCTGCTTGCCTGCTGCTGTTCACCTGCTGCTCACCTGCTGTTCACCTGCTGCGCAATGCTTCGGCTACTTTTAACTACATCTCCAAGTATGGATGAAACAGGCTGTGCCATGGTGATTCTTTTTCCCTGATGTGACTTTCCACTACCTGATGTGACTTCTCCGTATCGCCGCCGTGCCATGGGGATGATGTGACTTTCCCGCCTGATGTGACTTAAGTACGGTGTTAGTACATCCCAAGTTAGATGGACACCTGCAAGAAACAGGGGGGAACTATCCGAACAGATATCAAGTTTACCATATATCTCACTTTTACAGAATGTGGTAAATGTTATCGATGACAGATGATGGATGGTAGGGGACACTGTAGGTGAAGCAGATGATAGATGATACAGAAACATAACTCCAAACCGGTTCAAACCATCTAAATATCACATGGGAGTCGTCCTAAAACCCATGCAAGGCTTTTAGTATCCGAGTGACATCTGCAGATATGGATGTGTGTGTTTTGCTGCAGTGGCGAAAGGCCGCGAAAGCGCGGCGTAAGGTCTGCGAAAGGTCTGCGAAAGGTCTGAATACCACTATTTATAAATATTATATAGTATTCATATTTGGCAGTTTTCCTTGCAGAATTGCCACAGGATTCATGCTTCGTATTGTCCCATGTTCTGACAATTGGCAGTGGCACCCTGCATGATTGGCATAAATTATAAAAGACACCCTTGCATAAACATTTAGTTTCTGAAATTTCATTTTTTAGACGAGAAATCCGCGAAAGGTTCGCGAAAGGTCCGCGAAAGGTTCGCGAAAGGCGAATCCTCCCGGACCCAACCCTGGCCCAAAATGGGCTAGTTCTTTCTGCATTGTCGCGACTTCAAAATCTTTTTCAAAGAATGGGTGCAAAACCAATGTCCAGAAGTCAAACGCCCTCACAGGAACACTGACTTGCCCAATGCCATCGAGACTGTGGACTGGAACAGACTCATCACGCACAGCAGGAATGTAACTAGAGCAGCTTTGAAAACGGATCTCCAATCAGTAATGTTTTTAAATACAATCCTCCTGTGAATCTTTGTGACGAATTTGCACACGAAAACCCGATCATAATCCCATGTCCCGATTCTGCTGGGGCGCGAAAGGGTGCGAAAGGTTCGCGAAAGCGCGGCGTAAGGGCAGTTTTCGGGTACCATAATTTTGGACAACCCCCACATGTGCGTGCAGTGTGCGGTCGATTTTGCTTATTTGCTTCACATGACATTCCTCATCTTCCGATAGTTTGCCCAAAGAGTTTTGCCAAATCTGGGGTGACTTAATGCACTTGGGTCGACTTAGAGCGAGTGTAGGTGTTTCCATGTGGCTGGGGTGACTTAACGCGACCTGGGGTGACTTACGGCGCTTACTCGTACAGATGATAGGTGATTAGATGATAGATGATAGACGCGCCAAAAGAATGCACACATTCTATGCATGGGGTGGCACCATGGGGCTTTTGTATGCTTAGACCTGGCCATGGCCCAGGTGCCCCTGGTGACTTTGAGAATGCCGGTTTCCTGGGTGTGCCAAACAGCTACATCAAGGCCCCTGCGGACACCAAGGAAAAGAAACTCGCGGCGGAGATCGCGAACGGACGACTGGCCATGATGGCCATCATTGGTAGCTTGGGAGCCAGGTTTCAGAACGTTTCACGGGTCGAAATTCATAATTTCTCAGCCCTTATCCAAAGATTCTGGTCATTTTCACCTTGACTTATGATTCAATCATGCGAGTTTTTTCAGATGCATGATTTGGCTCATGGCCATTATTCAAGTTTTATCCAGACATGCGGCTTTGTGTTAGAACTTTTCTGTTTTCCAGCTCCCAAAAACTCGCGCCTTTTCGCCCCAGGCATGTTCTTCCAAAACGGCCTGACCGGCGAAGCCTGGGGCGACTGGTCCCTCTACACCGACTCGCCCCTGCGCGCCTTGACCCCCGCGCAGGAGTGCATCGCCGGCACCGGCGGCCCCTTCCCAGAGGATTTCTGGGATCCTGCTGGCATCACCGCCAAGAAGAGTCGCTTGAATATATGTTGAGTTGCTGAGATGCTAATGTAAGAGGTCTAGAGTCCGCATGATTATGTTGCAAGCAAGTTTAGATTCAAATTTGCATATAATGGCATATATATATATATATACAACTATACAACTATACAACTATACAACTATACAACTATACAAGTATACAACTATACAAGTATACAACTATACAAGTATACAACTATACAAGTATACAAGTATACAAGTATACAAGTATACAAGTATACAAGTATACAAGTATACATACATACATACATACATACATACATATAATACATACATATAATACATACATATAATACATACATATAATACATACATATAATACATACATATAATACATACATATAATACATACATATAATACATACATATAATACATACATATAATACATACATATAATACATACATATAATACATACATACACAGTATATATATATATATAATATTTTGAGTGCATATACAACTATAATATATATATATATTAAAATAAATAAATAAATAGACAAATAAATACAAATATAAATAAATAAACATATTTATACACAGATATGTATGTATATATGTTACAGTTGTAGATAGATATGCACAACTCCTGCAGCATACGGATGCCAAATCAGAATCATAGTGGGTCTTTGATGCCTACTGTTCAAAGAATGCGGCCATCATAATTTATGTAGGTAAAGAACTCTTCGTGGCCGCACCATCACAGTATATTCAAATGATGCCGTGAAATCAATGACCGCATGACAATGGACCAAGCTATTTGCCTGTCAGGGTGAGTTTGGGTCGTTCGACCCTGAATCTATTTTTGGAAGTTCCTTTTCAACACGTGGATTTTTCCGCCACGTTTGATCACGAGATATCCATAGACTATAGATATCCCATGATCTCGCAGTACCTCAGGATTCCCGACCCATCCCGCGTCATATCCTGAGGCAAGGAGGAGATCTTGCAGCTTCGCGCGATGGAGCTGAAGCACGGCCGTGTGGCCATGCTGGCAGTGCTGGGGTGGTTTCACGTGGCCGCAGGGTATCACATCGTGGGGGACTATGCGGTGGGAGAGCACTTGGACAACAATCCCTTGGTGAATTTGACTCAGATGCCCATGGGTGGTATCTGGCAGGTGGTTTTCACCATCATGTGCTTGGAGTGGGTTACCACCTATGTTTCTCGCTCCGAAATTTGGCGTCGTAGAGCATCATTATGTCATTGGACTTGAACTCGGGCTTCCCTGTGTAGCCTACGACTTTTTAAATGATTTTTACGCCCCTAAATTGGACCCATTTGGACCCCCAAAATGGCCATGATCAACAGGACCATTAAATCATCGTCCAACTCAATCCAAGCTCATTTTTTGGGTTCCCAGGTTTCCCAGGTTCCTATTAATTATATTCAAGTTAGGGGGTGTAAATGGTTTTCAGCTGCAGGTTTGCAAGCCCCCAGCTGAGAAGCCTTGGGACATCCTGGGCTGGACAGACATCCTCATCGAGGCGTCTGTGGGAAGGGAAGATGTGATATAGCCCTGTAATGCCCTACATACCACTGTATAAGATGTGCATAGATGTGTATAGTATGTATATATATATATTATACATGATAAATGTATATGTAGCCCGTGTCACGACAAGGTTGATGCTACAAGCCAGACTAGTGGGCATGACTCAAGACAGGTGAGACCTCCACCTGGGCCTTCAGGATGAGAAGAGCATCTGGAACCAGTTCAGGAAGGCCGAGAACCAGGAGCTGAACAACGGCAGGTTGGCCATGATGGGCATCACAGGTGGGCAGAGCTCTGCGTGTCAGAACGTTCCTTGGAACGCTATCCATATGTTATATATGTTCATATATATTACAATATTATATATTATATATAATACACATATATATATATATATTGATATATATTGATATTATGTACATGTCTTAAATAAATAGATATATGTACGCTTAAACATATTATATTATATACATATGTTATATATATATGGTGTTATATATATATTATACTATATAAATGTTTTATTTTTGACGATATATATGTATTTGAATTAATATATATAATATTATAATATCTATTTTCTTTATACATTATATTATTTATTAAATATATATATATATATTGTATTATATATTATATATAATATAAATATTGAATATATTATATGTATTATATATATATTATATATGTAATATATATTATATATTATATATAATATAAATATTATATATATATATTATATGTATTATATATATATATTATATGTAAGATATATTATATATTATATATATTATATTATATATATTATATATAATATATCATATATACATATTATATATTATATATATAATATATATTAGTTTTTAAATTATGTACATATTATATATTATATAATTTATACTATATATATTGTATTTTATATATTATACATATTATATGTTTTACATATTATATATTATATATATTATATATATTATATTATATATATTTTTCATATTTTACATATTTTACATATTGTATATATTATACATATGTTATACATATTATATGTGTATTATATTGTATATGTTATATATCTATCATATATCATATATTATATGTTTTTATATTATATATTAGATATTTGTATATTATATATTATACATTATATATCATTTATTTACATATATATATATATATATATTCCATATTATATATTGTATAATATACTCTATATATCAACATATATATGCACCTAATGCCTCCAAAACCATTTTTTTGGGTTGCCAAAAAGAAACAGAGTTGTTCAAAATAGCCCGCTTTTTTTCAGCAAGGCATTTGGTTATACGGGAAATTATAGATTACGGGCAAGTTATGGGTAGAAATTTGGAAAGCATGTTTTCTTTTCTCTAGAAATACAACGTTTCTATTAAATTCTAGAATCTAGAAAAAATATTTTTCGATTTCAACAACCAAAAAAGTGGGTTAAGGGTGCCAAAGCTATAAATATAAATGTATATATATATATATATACGTAGACATATTTAAATATATGTATATATAATATATATATATACATATGTAAATATATACATATATTATATATACATATATATTTACATATACATATATATATATCTACATATATATATACATATACATATACATATACATATATATATACATATTTATATATATATATATATATACATACATATATTTATATTTCGCTATTTGTTAATTATACTTACAGATGCCATATAATTTGGATGTGCCTCCAGTCTAATCGCTCATTATGCAGTATGTTTGTTGTTTGTTATTTCCCCCCCTCTACCTTAATGCATGTGTAGGCTTTCGACCCCCAATCCACTCGGAATGGTATGTCTTGTATTGCTGTGTGATAGCTTGACAAGGTGGTGCCCCAGTCCGTTAGCCAACTTGGTTTATGACCCCAATAACTGTTGAGTTTATGGATGTTTATTGTCCTTATCTTTACACTATAGAATAAAAGTAGAGGTTTAAAATTAACTTATAACTGCGGGGCATCACCTTGTAGGGGGTGTCACCTCTGCCATCACCCACTTCTTGGAAGACCGTATCGAGGCTACTGGCTCTTCGTATCTGCCACATTCTGCCACTATCGATTCAAGTAGATATTATACACATCACAGTTGCACAATATAGTTACACACAATATACACATGCATACAGAAACAGCCCTAAAGAATCATCAAACACATCACACGGAACAATTTTCCACCAATTTTTTCCACCTCAAATGACTTGATTTCTGGTCACCCCCAGTTGCTGGTGGGGTCCGCAGGCCTCATCGCCCAAGACGTCCTCTTCGGCGACTTCGGCGAAGCGGCGGTACTGCCCTGCTTCGGTGCCGCCGCCTGCAAGGAGCTCTTCAGCCCCGTGGGCCCGGCGGCCACCACCGAGCCCTTCCTGGGAGCCGGCTTCATCTATCCGCCCCTGGCGCAGTGAGAGGATACCTTAGGTGTGATATGGTGGGAACATTTATAGTTTTGCTGCCGGGGTGGGGCGAAAGAATTACCCCACTTTGACAAAGAGGCAGGTGCCATTGAGAAGTGCCAAGGATGGTCCAAGTAGCAGGGTCGTTGAGATTGGAGACCAGTACCAACTTGCGAATGGAAGTTGGCTGGTATCCACTAAAAGGGTTCGGTTGAGTTGTGCCACCCTTAGATGGTATTAGATGGCCCGATGCCAAATTGCTCGGGCCCAGTACTTTTTGTAAGGCCTCTGGGCGGCTCAATTGGAGTGATCAGATGGAGGGCAGATGGGACATTTCAATAGGAAGAAAGTGAAACCAGGCGAATCACGGGACATCTATCCAATGCTCACTTCGAAGCAGAGCTGTACAGGTCTTTTCCAAGTAGAGCTGTACAGTTCATTAAAAAATGCGGCATATCGCATCTTTGCTGCTCGCCAGGTGTCGCCTGCATCAGTTTCGATCATCTTGTTTTTCAGCCTTGATGCTAGGCAATGTATCGTCATTGTTGGCTGGCGAATGGAAGAAAGCCATCGTAAATCGTCAGTGAGGTCGTCAGTTTCAAACGTCATCAATGGCTTATGGCGTGGCATAGTGCAAAACACAATGATAACTCATAACTTAATGATGATACTATGAATGTCGCCGGGAACGCGTCACTCTGGCTGCCGGGGTTCGATGATTAGGATGTATTGGGATGTATGGGGTTGCAACCAGAACTATCAACAAGGCTACTCTGATTGTGGATCTTGCATGATCGGGGTCATGATTGTGGCCTGATCCCTTGACCTGCAGCCATTTTGGGGGGTGGCAAGACTCAGCTCAACATTCAGTGCCCATGGCGCCTCAGATGTCCAAGGTGGCAGCTGCTGCTGCAGCAGTGGCGGGCACAGCCTTTGTGGCTCTTCCATCGCAAGGCCATGTATGAAAATGTCGATTGCTGTCTAGATCTGTCTAGTATTGTCTAGTCTTGGTTGACAGATTTTGAGGGTTGGGGCCTGTGCCTGTTACATACTTAGGTATATTAGTATATCTGTATATATATATAATTATATACTCCAGCCACCCCCGGCTACATATCAGGTATGTGTTTCTTGACATGCAAGTCGCATGATGTGGATGGGATGAACAATGTGCATGTGTGTGCGTGCGCGCATTCTTTTTGCAAGTGTGCATCAGGTAGCTGCATAGAACGATATATCAAGATAGAATAAGATAGATATTTTGGTTATTTTGTAGTTATTTTATGATATTTTCAACATTTTTCAACTCCCATCATAGCTCGGGTGGTGTTCCCAGGCACTCGCAGCTCGGCCCCAAGTTCCGGCTCCCTGCGTGGTGCCCGCGGTTCCAGCGGTTCCGCCCTGGGCAGCGCTCCCACCATCGCCGTGCTGGGTGCCACCGCGGTGGCTGCGGCAGCGCTGAGAAAGAAGGACAGCCAGGCGGTCAAGGCTACCGCGCTGCAAGCCTTCGAAAACGAGCTGGGTATCTAGGCTGATTTTGGGGGATTTCTTTGGTTGAGTTCTATCAGTTGGGGTTTGCCAAGTACTAGTAGGCCGCAGTAAACCATAGGAACTGTTTTGCAGGAAACTGGGTAACTAATGAATGTCAATAACGATTACAGTAAATTATACATGTAAATTGATTGGGAACTGGGTACAGCATAGTATATCCTCAACGGTATACGGTATCCTCCTTTGCCTGGGAGATATTCAGGATACCAGAGATACCAGAGTTACCAACCACTTACTGTAATGGGTTAAAGCCAATAGCACACCCCCGTGTAACATCGTGTAACCATTTGATGGGTATCAAAAACCATAACCAACAAATCAGCAAATACAAAAAAGCCGATTCATTAATTATTCATTTCGCTACACTCACGGACCATCACCTAAGTTTGATGCATTTTACCGCTGTGATTTTGGTGGGTTTAATTGGCTTCTTTAATCTTAGGTGGTTGGCTTTGGTTGGTGGCAACGGGGCGATGTTGCGCTGACAAGATACAAGAACATTGAACCCAATGGAACACATTTGCGACAGCTCCACTCGCATTTGTGCAAGACTTACCTTTCAATAAGTGCAAAGGCCATGCTCACAAATAACCTATATAATATATAGAATACTGATATCCATATTATCTGATATCCCAAACTTGCCATTGAAATTCAGTAAACTACACATTCCAAACCGTTTTTTTTTCAGTGGTTTCAGGGAGGTTGTACCAGACTCAAACAATGAGTCAGCCGCCAAACAGCCGAGGTGTCCAAGCTCCTTTGGGCTTTTGGGACCCCGCGGGGTTGTCCAGTGATGGCGATGCCAAGGAGTTCTACCGCCGCCGCGTGGTGGAAATCAAGCATGGCCGAGTGTCCATGCTGGCCTGCACCGGCTACATCGTGCAGGACGGCTTAGAGCTGCTACTGTATTTCATGCTTTGTTTGTTCGCATTTTCTGAAACTCTTTGTACTGTAATCGCGGTTTGATATTGTTTGATGCTGTCCAGTCAGGTACTAGGTATGTTGAACAGACACACATACAACATATGCAACAACCAATAAAAACATATCGAATAGACTTCAACGAACGGGAACGGTTTGTGACCGTGACCACGTTGGGGCTGAAAAGAGATGCCCATGGGCCAACTCTGCGTAAGGAGTTCTTCAGATTCCCTGGCTACATCTCACCTTCCAGCGAAATCAAATTCACGGACATTCCCAATGGCTTGGCCGCAGCCACAAAGGTCCCGGCAGTGGGCTGGTTCCAATACACCGTATTTTGCGGCATTTGCGACCTGTGGCTCATGCACCAGGTGCCTACAAACCCACCAGGCAAGCTTTGCACCCGTTTGTTTGGTGAGGAGACCACCAACTATGAGTACGGCTTCTTGGGCCTTCCCGGCTACTTGGGAGGGAAGGCCATTGCTGACCCTGAGATCAAGAAGAAAAAACTTAATGCAGAAATTGCTAACGGAAGGCTGGCAATGATGGCGATCATCGGCGGCTGGGCATGAACCAGTTTTGTTTGCCATTTTGTTTTCTATTCATTTCGACTCTCAATTTCTTCGTTCAAAGTTCTTGAAGATCTTGAAGATGTCTGAAGATCTAATTAAAGATATTGTTTGAAGATCTTTTTGGACACACAACCAGCGAGTTGCTAACACGGACCCCCTTTCCAAAGCGCCCTGGCCGTGGGTTCCAGGCATGTTCTTCCAGGACGGACTCACAGGATCCGCTTGGGGAGACTGGGCCAACTACACCGAGTCGCCATTGAGGGCCTTTGAGAACGAGTTGGGCGTCCAGGTGCTGCCCGGGAAAGTCGCCAACATCTGGACATATCTGGACCTTTCAAAACAACAATGAAAAAGGGCAACTGACTGGATTTGCCTAACCTTCCCTCCCAACTTGAGAATGCACTCAGGGATTTTTCGGGATAGGCCCCAACATGTTTTCACAGAATCTTACATGTCAGTTGGGAAAGATGCTCACCTGGCTTGTTAGTTTGTCTTGTTTCGGTGGAATCGTGGACATCACAGCAGTTGTTGGATGGCTTCTGCCAACGAACAGCTAAACTTTAAACAGCTCCTTGTGGTCTACATGACATGAATACATCGCAATGTCGCCCCAAAATGATTTGGGGTTCCAATGGGTTCCACAGGTCCCGACCCAAGCGATGCCTTGCCAGGCTCCTTTGGGATACTTCGATCCTCTTGGCTTGTCCAAGGATGGCGATGTAGAGACCTTCCGCAGGCGTCGCGAGGCGGAGCTGAAGAACGGAAGGGTGGCGATGTTCGCAACCATCGGCTCCGCGGCTGCTGTCACATCTTTTGATTTGCTCTTGCTGTTCTTC